GGGCCATTGAAAAAAATTTTTACCGGACCATTTTGCACCAGCCCTCCCCCCCCGGTAAATATCGTACAGTCCCTTATCAGACTTTAAAAACGTTAAATGACCAACACTGTAATTTTACATGTAACAGCCTTCAATTTTAACCATATTTCATATTGTAAACGGGACTTTGTACATTATCTCAACATGGACACCGTGTAACGTCTGCGTCACGATACGATTATACCTAACGAAATATATTCTTACAACTCTTCTTCCTTATTCTAGCACATAATGGCCTCTCTGGGAATAGGTTATGGTAATTTGGGCACAGTTAAGAATTCCTGTACGTGTGTTTGGCCAAGGAGCTTCAACAAGTGATAGAATGTCAACATGAGTATGCCAACATGCCACTACATTCCCATGACTCATTCCCAGATGCAGACCCTTGGTTTGAATGCCAGGCTAACCCCTCTTCAGCTTCACATGAAAGGAGATTGAAATAAACAGGCAGAATTGAAAATGAAATGTTTTGGTTCATATTCATTTTCTACTGTTCAACTGGATAGATCTATTTTCTCCATCCATCCATCCATGCTACAGGAAGTTTGTCAACTTACGATGACGTAGAGCCATTGATACGCTTGGCCTGCCCTATTGTGACTGTACGATCAAGGATCTTGGTACGATAGACTTTCTGTGTAACCAAGTCTTGGTCCTCAAAACGGCATGTTCCAGTCCTCAATCTTGCCTAAGACAAACTTGGCGGTGACGTCATGGAGGTCAAAGGTCCCTCCAGTAGTTCTGCATGTCACGTGACTTGTATTTAGAGGTCGTTGACCCGCAGTTCGCTGGAAGAGAGGCCCAGGGAGAAAATGGCGGTCCTTTTACGTCCAATTTCACCACTACAGCCCCAACAGCACTTTTGTGCCATACCTACACAGAAAAGGACACAAAATAGAACGACGTTGCGAGTTTTAACACCTGAACTTTCCTCCAGGCAAATGCATTCGGATTCTGCAAAAGGTAGGGAGGGCAAGACTAACCAGCATACTGCCAGAAACTGTGGGGGGGGGTCTTAAGGGTCTTTGGGAGCCTTTATGTGCTATTTTCTGATTGCATATAGACCAAATAGCCGGCCTGGTCGAATTACGTATACCCCCATTTTTAGAACTGGGCTAATCAGAAAACAGCCGAAGACCACCAAACCCCAGTTCTATAAGCCTGGACAGGGTACCATAAAATTAGTGAAAGAATCTTCAAATTCATCAATTCATCAAAAAAAGATCCATAGATTACACTACCTTAGATGTGTTATCAGGCCAGACCTTTAGCACACCTCCGAACAGCTGTTTTGTAGACCATCATGTGATCTTGGAAAGACCAATATTTGATGGTCTAATATTTACTAGTCAATTACTCTGTTCAACAGCTGTTAGAAATAGACTGAAAAATGGAATTGACATTGTTACGTTACCATACTTCTTACTAAAAATAATTAGCGTACAATCTAGTGAACTTATCTAAATTTTCGTGACAAGGATTCTTCTGTTCAGGGTTGTTGAGTCAGAATGCGAAGGTTCTAGGTTGCCCCATTGTTGTGTTCTTAGGAAAGCCATTTTACACCTATTTTTCTCACCTGACTCAGGTGAACATGAGTACTTAACATGAGTACTAAGTAGAAGTTTTTTCCCAGACAGTTGTTACCTGTCTCCTGTTACTGTGTAATGAGTATTATACTAGTACTTGATTGTAAAAGCAATTAGCCTTCGGGTATGATTTTGCGAATAAAGTTTCAATAACTTAACTTCGGAAGGATGTAAAGCCGGCCGGAGATCCAGCCATTGAGCAAAAGATCTCATCACACTTATCACGTTGAATATCCCACCATAATTATCATGTTAAAGGTCTATCTACCGCACTTATCGAAAGGATCTGGTCCTTCCCGGTATGAGTAGTTTAAACCTTACAGTCTGGTGTCAGGGTTGACATCTTTCAGGACTCAGTGAAAGTGTCGGAGTAACCACTAACCCGCTGGGAGAAGCATGTGTTTATTCTGAGTCCTCTGGAACATACCCTACTCTTTTCGATATTCAAAGTGTGGCGGATTCTTCTGGGTCTCCTGAGACCGAAGCTAGGTACCTGTGTTATACTAGCCTCTACCAGGCTTGGGGAGGCTGCTGGAAAGAGTAGAAATCGGCCAAATAGAGAGATAAGCATGCCAAGGGAGTTTGTCCGTTGAGAGAACATTTCGCCGCACCCCAAATGTTCTCTCAACGGACGTCAAACTCCCTTGGCATGCTTATCTCTCTATTTGGCCGATTTCTACTCTTTCCAGCCGCCTCCCCAAGCCTGGTAGATGCTAGTGTTATACCCCCATTCCACTCAGACGGCTCTCTCTCTCTGCGACCTGAAATTGGCCAGAGCGCGGAGAGAGCGCCATGAGAGCGCGACTAAGTGGAATGGGGGCCTTACCCAGAGCGAACATCGGCATTTCAGGGCTTTGAACCCATGAGCCTGTTTGTCCTCAGGTGATCTATGACGTCACACGTGCAGGCAGTATATTTTGATAAATCCTTCTATTTTTGGGTGATCATGGTATTCCAATTTCGCGGCGGAGGGGTTCAAAGTCGCGTAAATCATTTAATTCTCATTACGTTTTACAGCTTTATGGATTAATCAAGGGAAGAATTGTAAAAGAGGCCATTGGCGCGCCACCACTGTTTACTTGGCCTTGGAAACCCTCTTAAAAATACCACGTAGACGTCAATATAAGGCCATGTTGATTTGATTATATGGATGACATCCGTGCGTGCATGAATTTTCGTCCATTTCCAAAAAAAGAAGGATTTGGCCGAAAATGTGAAGAAATGAAAATGAAGAGTCTATTTATCATTCGCCACTCCATACTCTGTGTGTTTAGTCATTAGTTTAACCTTTATGACCAAGTAGATTTCATAATGAAGGACACTTTTTTGTCACGCTCGCGTCAGTTTTGGGGTTTCCAGATGATGTCATCCATATAATCAAATCGGCATGGCCTAATAAGGTAGCCTGAGTGTCAGGGGAGCGGACCTTGGGTAGCGGACGAAAGCTAACAAGGCTGACACTCAGGCTACTAATAAGGTATATAAAGCGCGTTCAGTGCGTAGGTTGCACAGACACAGTCGGCGGTCTGGGGACACTCAGGAGTCAACAGTCCCCACCCAACACGACAGAGGAAGGAATTTCAAGTCATCCGGCAAGCTCACTTCACTTCAGGTCATCCTGCAAAGGTTTGTGTTACTCATTCATATATTCATAAATAGTACAGGCTTGCTTGACACAATGTGATCTAATCATATAGGACAGTTTTTTTGTCGGCTAACTTTAGGTCACTGCAATTTGTAAAATGTGTATGTGATGTAAACCATTAATTAACAAGAGTATATAACTTCCCTCGCCGCAACGATACATTAACGACCAAAGCAGATCGTCTTACTCGCAGTAAAAATTCGAAGTAAAAAAATCGTCATACGCTCGCGCGCGTACGTAGTTTTTGCACGGCTAGGTTTTTGGGCCAATGTTAAAAAAATATATATATCGACGGATCCCAGGACTTTAAAAAATCTGAATTCGAACGACTAGAACTGCCAACGACTTCACTTGAATGTCCCCTGATGAAAAAGTCTGTGTTCTCAAAATGTGAGAAAAGGTGATCATTGACAATTTGCTGTTACATATACCTGGTCACTAGCCTGGGTGCCATCCTATTTGTATGTCGGGGCTTCCATACTAGCTCCCTAATGCTGAGGTCACAATTCCCAGACGGGGCCCGGCCGGGCAGCTTTTGCTAACAAAAAGTAAGATACAAATGACAACAAAACACAGACAAGTTTTTAATAATAATCATGGGCACTCTTTCTGTATATTCTTGATATCAATTGTTAATTTTCCGTTCATACAAACAGCTCGGCCGGGCCCCGGTTTGGAAATGTGACCGTAAGCATAACAGGAGCGAGTATGGGAGCCCCGACATACAAATAGGATGGCAACCAGGCTACCTCGTCACACCAGCGTTCCCGCCATCCCTAGTCCCCGAGTGCCTCCAATAGCCCTGACCTCGGTAAGGACGTTATAACGTCCTTGGGTATAGAAGATATTTATGGGGCTAACAAAATATTGACAGATTCAAGAACTTGATATCAATAGGGCTATATATACATACATTATGGGAAGAAAGAACTGGTTAACCACATGGACGGAAGGAACCGTGATATCGTAACCATAATTACTTTTTCTAAACCACATGTGCAATCATGATATATTGGTCATTGACCTTGGTACTGCTATAATAGGAATAATAAATATCTTTGGCAACGGACGGGCGGTGGTGTGATGTTTAGGTGTTGACATTTGGACCCCCAAAGTTTATATTTGCCTCTTATATATACTTGAGATCGTGCATACACACAGACTTTTCATTAGGGAACATTCAAGTGAAATTGTTCGGCAGTTCTAGTCGTTCAGATTTTTCTAAGTCCAGGGATCCGTTAGTATACCGCTAGTATATATACACTGTGTACCTGTCTACTTGGTGTGTTGTATCAAAGACGAGGCAAGAGAAGTTGACTTGGTCTACACAAGTGGGTAAAATGATGTACCTTGGTCCAGAGGCAGTGTAGCCTGGAATCCAGTCTATCGTGGTTGGGGCAGGCTGTCTTTGGGGATCTAATAGTTTTTCCCCGCGGATCGTCCAGCTCAACAGACCGCCCAGAAGGAGTGTTGCGCCTGTAGGAGTTTTGCACTCCATTAGTTGATTGTGGTGGGGTTGTTTTAACTCCCGTCGTGCAAAACCTACCGGGGAACCAACCTAGCTGAGTCGGGCGGGGAAGAGCTCCTGCAGCCCGGAAGAAAACCCACCCCAACCACGATAGGCTGAGCTAGACATGGAGATAGGGGTAGTGTCTTTAGGCACTGGACTACGTACTTGTAGGCTGCTTACAGGAACTTTTTTCGTTTCCTACAGATGAAGTGGTTTGTTCTGCTGGTCTGGTCGGTCGGACTGTGTTCCGCCACGCCATGTTGGCTGCTGGGTGCTGGTGATTCGGCCTGTTCAAGTATGATGCTTGAAGCTCGTTCAGTTGCCCCTCAGACAACCCCGAGCCCTTACAGCGTGGCAGTGGAGTACGACAAGGATCACCATAGATTCAATGGTAAATAACAACATCCTTTCCTTGCTCTTAAATCAGACGCAGATGTCTCGTGACACTCTGTGTTCGCTAGTGCACCTGCCATATTGCATTGGAGGTGAGGTTTTAGTATAATTTAAATGGAAGTTAATTTCAGAAGTGTATCTCTCTCGCACTGCTCTCTCTCTCTCTCTCTGTATGTGTGTGTGCGCGTCTGTCTGCGTGTGTGTGTGTGTGTACTGTACCAGTGTCATCTGCGGTGTGGTTTCTTCTATCATCAAAAGCTGCTTCTTCTCCAAGCAAATAAAGTCCAGATCTAGACCTAGATCATTAATGTCTTACCGTGTTTTCCCCGCAGTTGGCGTGGTGGGAGAGGCGCCGTTCGTGGGCGTCCTGCTGCAGGCCCGGCGGCCAGGCAGTACCGAGCCGGTCGGCACCTTCCTCCCGCCCCCTGCGGTAAGTTGTTGTTTTTCACGATGGCTGATGGGCTTTGAAACGTTGCTAATTAGCATGTTCGTGACACTTCAATGCCATTGGCAAGTATCACGAATATGCTAATGAGCAACTTTTAACCACCTCCTCCCTCCTTATAGCGTACTGGCCTGAAGCGGATCACCTGCAGCTCTCAGGGGGACAGCATCACCAACCGCAGGCCGCTACGAACCAACGAGATCAGGCTGACGTGGGAGATGCCGCAGGGAGAGGGGAAACTGGGCGAGATCTACTTCGTGTGAGTACCGATGTCGTGTCTTTCCGGTGTCAGGATGCAGAACGCCGAATGCAACAAGTAGAAGATATTGTCTTGAAAGTTCATGTAGGTTTAACTTGGTAGAAGTCATCATTAAGCAAGTTTGTACTGCAAATTCCAACACTTTCAAGGCCATCTACAACAACCTTTTATTCACTTTTCACCGAACTTTGCATAAAAACACCTGTAAATTGATTTATGGCAATATGACAACATTTTGCATGTTAACCAATGTTGACCATTCCTCTTCATCAATCCTTAAGTAACAATGATAAAATGAAACATAACTATTGCTTTATTTCCTCCTAAAGGGCAACTGTGGTGCAATCATGCAGCAGTTATTGGGCGAGCGTGCAGTCGGAGTCAATAGCGGACATCAGTAAGTATTGGCTGGGGAAGTGGGGAACTTTACTATGCCTTGGACACAATTGTAAACAGAGTTTACAGTGCAGTTTACCAGGCAGTTTGTTCATCGTTCGCTGCACTGGACGTCAGGCTCATAAGTGAATGAGATAAGGTAGCCAGAAAAAAAACTGACGATTTTGCTTCTGCTTACCTCCGCAGCACGCCACATGTTCTGGCCTGGAACCGTGCCGGATGGGTACTTTTGGGCGACAGCTACAGCGTCCTACCAGGTATGTATCCCTCCTATGCATGTATATGTGCATTTTCTGTGCATATTCTGTTCAGGGCTTAGGTGTAACACGTCGTTCGGTGCAATGTAGCCATCTGCCGCCGCGCCGCATGCCTGCGAAGCTGGTGTGTTACGCCGATACAGATACAGATACTAGTATCACATTCTCACATCTCAGCTTGTTGGAGACCATTTTGACCACCAACTCGACCTTCCTGCCAGTCTGTGGTTGCCGTACTCCCAGTGTTGACTCTACCATATTCCTACAATAACTACAAAAGCAAACAAACAGAGAGTTACACCGAAATAAAAACTTCCAGCATCAATCAGTTGGAATCAGCACTGTGCAGCAGTTACATTTGCTGAGAAATGTTATCTGTATGCCAAACATCAGTTATTCAAGCAACTGGATATGATTTTGGAAATTTTCAGGCGTTTCAGGTGTCATCCAGTACAACGTCGTCAGTGACACTAAGAGACCGGAGTAACTGATTTTTGGCGTATCTTATTACCTGGATGTCTAACCTTCTGTCATTAGCTGCCTATGTTAACGCAATTCGTTTCTGAAAACTCTCATTCCAAAGTCGCTCCCGTTTGTCCCAGATTGAGGGAGCGTGGAACCGTAACGGGAAAGGCGAGTCGATGTGGGACCACTACGCACACATGCTGGGGGCCTATGAAGGAGACGAAGCCTGCAAGAGCTACGACTATGTAAGTCAATCATAAATCTAGATTATAAACACAGTTCTGCCGCAAGAAAATAATATAATATAATATAATATATATAATTGTTTATTGCAAATTCTTGCCCGAGGGCTAATTGCAGAAACAGAAGAAACATGGTATAAAAACAGACAATTAGTACATATAGAACTACTGATAACTACTAAGAAACTACTGGTAAAAACTACTGAATTTGGGATCCAGTTGCGATTGAATCAGGATTGCCTCCAATCGCGATTGGATCCCGATGCGTTCACACTTGTCGGCTCATCCAACCGCGATTGCGTTCTCCATTCGCACTGGCATTATCGTCAATAGCGATTGGAGCGTTTAGGTTCAGAAAAATCAATCAAGAATCGCGATTCGAAACCCAGTCTGAACGGGGTGTGATGTTGGCATGTTTTCTGTTGCAGTACGCCCGGGATGTTGAGATGCATGAGGAGATGGGTCTGAACTCCTATCGCTTCTCCATCTCCTGGACCAGGATCCTCCCGGATGGAACTGTGGCCGGCGGCATCAACCAAGACGGTATAGACTACTACAACAACCTCATCAACGAACTGCTCAGCAAAGGCATAATACCGTACATCTCACTGTACCACTGGGACGGGCCCCAGGCGCTACAGGTAAGTAACTATACCCTTTATACCCTGGTACAAAGAACTAGAACGGACCTCAAGTTTTTAGAGTAAGGCAATCACACCATACATACATGCCTTGTTACAGAGAACTGGGACGGGCTATGGGTCATAGAGGTAAGTCTACTATACAAATTTGGCGCAGGTTCCCGATTCTGACTCAGGTTCATAGAATTTTGGGTCTGAGACAGGATTCTGGAAAAATTCTACAAGACTGTCTTAGGTTTGCTCCTGGAAACGTCTAATTGCAACCACCATATTCACTATCCCTTAATATATGAAGAGTAAAAAACTTAGTAAGATAGTTGTGTTGACGGGGATCCTCTGAGTGAAAGAGGTAGTTTGCAATTTTCTGATGAGTTGTTAAAGTTAGTATCATGCCTTACTAAATTGTATCTAAATTGTAACTGCCCTGTGTGCAAAGTTGGTTGTTGTGACAGAATGATCAGCAATGAATGGTTCGCCATGTTTTTTTAAATCCTAAGGAAAAGTACGGGGCCTGGCTCAATGAAGCTATTATAGAGGACTTCAACAATTACGCCCGCGTGTGTTTCCAAGCTTTCGGCGATCGTGTCAAGCATTGGGTGACGTTTAACGAGCCGTGGTCCTTCGTCATGGGAGGCTACGGACTTGCTGGAGCTCCACCGGGCATCTGGGACCACAACAAGACTGAAATGGTGCGTACAGTACACACATCCATAGTTATTTCAGGTGTACATATACAGAATATACTGTCATTTCTACTGGTAAATGGCATGGCAAATGTCCCATCGTAACATTACAAACTACGTTACGTCACCAGCAAGTATGGTTCCCGAATGGAGATATATTAGTTCCCTGTGATGGAAAGGTGCAGGACCGTGCATATCGCTGCTTCCATGTTATCATTACGTTCTTGAATACTAGTAGCAAGTTTCTTTATTCACAGCTACGTATATATATTTGTTGAAGAAGAGCAGACGTTTCGATGGCCATCTGCCATCTTCATCAGGTCAAGGACGCTATATCACAATTACCATAATCGCCCTGATGAAGATGACAGACGGCCATCGAAACGTCGTCTCTTCTAAACAAGTGGTTGTAAGTAAACAAATTTAAACTTGCTATTCCATAATATACCAACCTCATGAAATAATTCACGGATGTCCTGATCTCGTCCAATTACAGTACAAGGCAGCTCACAACGTCATCCGTGCCCACGCTCGCGCCTACCACACGTACGACGAGGAGTTCCGGGCCGAACAGCAGGGAGCCTGCGGCATCGTCATCGGGGCTCTTTGGAGCGAACCCCGGGACCCCAACAACCCACAGGACGTTCTCGGCGCCCAGCTGTATCGAGATTTCGTCATGGGCTGGTTCGCGGACCCGATCTACGGAGACGGCAACTACCCCCAGCGGATGAGAGACATCATTGCAGGCTTTAGTCAGGAGGAGGTAGGGATATTTACCAGTTCGGTCCTGTACTGCTTGGTTTCTAGCCTCAGCCAGACTTCAAGAAGCGACTGGAAAGAGTAGAAATTGACCAGAAAGACAGCTAACATACCAGGGGAGTTGGACCGCCAGAGAGTAAATTTTGAGCGGCAAAATGTACTCTCTAGTGGACCAACTCCCGTGGTGTGTTATCTGCCTTTCTGACCAATATCGATTCTTTCCAGCTGCTCCCGGAGCCTGGTAGAGGCTACCTGATTATCACTCTTCACAGCTAGCACAGGCCGGCTTAGGGGTCTTTTACCGGCCCCAGGAGTCTACAGTTCCAGTGAACTACAGTAGAATTCTTTCCAAACACATTTGTCTTACACAGGGGTGGCCCCAGTCCCGTCTGCCCGCCTTCACGGAGGAGGAGATTCAGTATAACCGCGGTACGGCTGACTTCGTGGGGCTGAACCAGTACTCTGCACGCCTCATCTATGCGTCCGATGACCCTGGAATGGTCGACGAAAACGGCTGGTTCAACTGGCTGGCCTTGATGGTTCCTGATATGAAAGGCTACAAGGAGACAGTTGATCCAACCTGGCCGAAAGGTATGTGGGTGGAGCACCTCGCTCGGTAGAACGTACTGTGCCTGCGTGAAGCCCGTACTGTTACGCATAGCACTTCGGCAGAGCGTCTCGTGTAAGGTCGTCTTCGCGTATTAAATGATGATGGGCGTTTTGCAATAGTTCGATACTACTTGGTATATTGCAGAACATGCCCCTAGCGACTTCTACTCGTAAAGACCTATAAAAATGCAATTCTGGTGTTACAGGTAGTTGACCAGAGCAATGCGCATTTGTAAATGTTAGATGCTAGAAGTAAATAGTAAATTGCCTTTTTGGTGGTTTTGTCAGCTGCAACGATGTAATTAACCTCAGATTCCATGTTACATCTGATGTCCTCGATGCAGTTGTTGATGTTGATGATGATGATGATCTTTCACCAGGTAAGATGATCTTCCTGCGAGTAACACCGTGGGCAGTCCGCAAACAACTGGACTATTTCAGACGTACGTACCAGAACGACGGCCCATTCTACCTCACAGAGTCCGGCATCTCTGAGGCACCGTTTGAACCACCGAAATTTGACGACGTCTGGAGGGAATGCTACTACATGCTGTACACAAACGAAATTGTGAAAGGTTGGTAGCAAGAGTTAGTTAGCGCGTGTGCATGTTGAAATGAGAGAAAAAAATCAAAGGAATGCGTAGAAAGTGAGAAGTATATCATTCTCCAATTATCGTTTCTAAAGAATGCCATGTGTGGAAATTGATTTTTGTTGTGTAAGTTTTGTTGTAAGTTGTCTTGATGTTATAATTTACATTAGCGCCCCAATGTCATTGTTTGCAATTGCACAACCTAGTGGAAGGAATGCCAGAGTGGTTTAACGTTTTTGACCCAACCAAACATCTATCGCCCCCTTTTTACGCCGATTATCACACACACACACACACACACACATACATATATATATATATATATATATATATATATATATATATATATATATATATATATATATATATATATATATATATATATAATAACGTAACGTAACGT